TATATATATAAATACATATATATTATATATATATTATATATATTTATATATATATATATATATATATATATATATATATATATATATATATATATATATATATATATATATATATATATATATATATATATATATATATATATATATATATATATAAATGTATCAATAATATGTTAACAGGAATGGATATTGGATATTTTTATATTTTTTTATATTACCTCTATGCAAAGGCACATTTTTAGTTTCCTTATAATTAAAATCATTGTTCTAATACTATAGCGTCATATGTCTTGAAGGATCAGCGTCTTAGACCAGCTGGTCTTGAAGGATCAGCGTTTTAGACCAGCTGGTCTTGAAGGATCAGCGTCTTGGACCAGCTGATCTTGAAATATCAGCCTCTTAGACCAGCTGGTCTTGAAGGATCAGTGTCTTAGACCAGCTGATCTTGAAGGATCAGCGTCTTAGACCAGCTGATCTGGAAGGATCAGCGTCTTAGACCAGCTGATCTGGAAGGATCAGCACCATAGACCAAAGTCTGTGTACAAGAACCTAGACCTTCAGCGGCTTAGAAATCAAAAAATAAATAATCTAAAAAAAAAAAAGTCTCGATTGCTCTGTGGCTGAGGCTTCGAGAAATCCGAAGTACGAGTGTACCAGGGATAAGACGTGTTAAAAATAATACTCCTTAGGATTTATTACGAACAGATGTTAACAAATTAGCATGAACATTTAAATAATAATAATAATGATGACCGTACTAGATGCTGCACCATGATGAAAGTTAACATAAAGTGAGTCAAACAAATCTTTCAGGTTCGTCTTCTTCAGACTAAAGCCATCAAGGGTCCTGGACGCTTGTAAGGGGTAATTTATTTCCAAGTAACTGGACCTGACCTTCCTTTTCTTGGATCGTAAATGATTGCCTTCCATTACCCCCCTCCCCTGTGAATTTAGCGCTCTTTCCTTGATTATACTAATAAGAGAAATAGGCTTTAGGCTCCTCGCTGTGAGGGTTGGTTCACCTCTGGCTCGCCTGGAGTCGTCGTCGCGAGCACTGACGCCTCAGGCGACACCCCAGTGCCACATCTGTCTTTTAATTCAACACTCTCATCTGCATCAGTCAGCAGGAGGCACTATATTGTTAATTATATTTATAATTTATTCTTTTATTTTATATATAAAAAAGTTCTACACTACAAAATTAACCTCCAACTCAAACTATGAAATTACATCTTTTGTTGACAAGAAATGTTGGAGGATCATCAGTGAAACTATATTCTGATTAGAGTCAGCCAATACACATAACACCTTAGACACTTTATGTAGACAACGTTGTGGTTGGAGACTAAGACGTTTCAAGTCTTAAACACGTTAGGTCTCCAAGTTCGGTCTCCATGCGAAACGTTGTCTAGTGTTCAGCTGTTTAAATGCCTTTGTTAAACCATTTGCCAATATTACATATAAGACACTGGATTTTTCTTAACTTCCATAATTATAAATTCTTCATAATATAATCAGTAATAGAAGAAATACATTTGACTGATATATTATAGGGAAATATACACATGCTAAAAAAAAAAAAAAAAAAAAAAAAGTACTCTCAAGAGTTGGGAAATATAAACATTACGTTACTGATCTTGCCACCATGATCCCTTATATGATTAAGTAACGAATTTTTTTTATTAAATAGGAAATTCGGTGGAGAAAAATTGTCGCAATGAAATTACGAAAATAGAGCGAAGAAATGAATATGGCAATATTCTCTGAGTGTGTACATAATACTCAATAATCTGCAGGAAAGAAAAAATAAAAGAGAAGCATGAAAAGTAAAGATAAGAGGAAATGTACTGTGAAGTATGACGATGGTGAAGACAAAAGTTGAAAATGAGGAAAGGGAAATGAGAGGATAAACTAAATAAGAGAGGTAGGGCGGTCCCTGCATTAGAAGAGGTGGGGTTGTAGAAGAGGTTATAGAAGTTGAAAAGGCAGGAGAGAGAGACTAATGAGTATTATAGTTGTAAAAGGGAGCGGTGTAGCATCCCTAGACAGACTTTCAGCAAGTAGTGTGACAGCAGGGAAGCCTTAAAGGAAATTGCAGTAGTAAGAGACTCAGAAGGATGGTACTAAGGGAAATCAAAACAGAAGGAGACACAGGAGAATGTTCCTAGAGAGAGATACACTGTAGAAAACGTAGCAGAATGATCCTAGAATGATTCCTAGCAAAATACACAGATTGGTCCTAGAAAGAGGTGCAGCTGAAGGAAGCCCAGAAGAATGATTCTACGAAGAAACGTAGCTGTAAGATTCTCCTTAGGACGCCTTATGGGAGTGTCGAGAGTAGGGGCCTAGAGGGGGTTACAGCGGCAGGAGCAGCACGAGGGGAAGAGGAACCAATCCATGAAGATGCCGTTGCAATCGTTCTCTGGGTCGTAGGCCAGCAGGCGATGCCACTTGTACTTCTGTTCGCAGCCGCAGTCACCTCCACAGCGCTTGGTGGAAGTCTTCCTGTGGGCAGCAGACATTAAGGGTGTTAGAGCGAAGGGATAAAATATGTGGTGGAGGGACTGTGAGGGCAGGTCGACTAGGAGAGCGTGGCTAGGAGCAGTTAGAAAATTAAAGAAACGGGTTTGAAGTGTAAAAATTTGTGAAGGGAGTGGCTGTGCTGATGCCGGTCCTGTTCAGACCCTTGATGCCGATCCCTTCATTGGTATCAAGGCTCTGAACAGTACTGATTGAATGGTTGTTTAATGAGTTTAAAGTTTATCGACTACACTAGGTTCGCTTAAGGGTACACGTAACGTTTTCTCCATCAGCTAAGAATCCATACTTTAGGTATTAAAGTAACTGATATAAACCTTGGTAATAAATACCGACAAGTTGGTTTAGAAAGACACGTAAGCAAACACTGTAACATATTTATTAGAAAACGTTTCGGTCCTGGGACCTTGATCACTTCTAACATACAGAGGTAGAAAGACATCTTACTAAAATCAGAACAAAGCAAAAAACTACTTAAACTTTTACCAGGTCAACCGAAACCAGCACGCCTGTATGGCCTTCCTAAGACACACAAACCTGGCATCCCACTACGGCCTATCACTTCGGGCATAGGGAGTGCACACCACAGACTAGCCGGCCACCTTGCCAAATACCTTTCAGCGCTTCTGGGCACCATCAGTCAAGCCCACCTCAAACATTCAGGTGACCTCTCCCGAATTTCCAACCTGAATGTCAAAAACAAAAGCATGGCTTCCTTCGATGTCACAGCCCTCTTTACCAACGTTCCTACTGACGCTGCAATCAACATTCTGAGACAGAGGCTCACTGAAAACCACGACCTCCCTTTACCTCTTCTAGATTTCATCAATCTAGTGGAAACTTTGTGTTAATTTCAACTTCTTCAAGTATCAGGGGCAACTGTTACAAACAATGCTTTGGGATGGCAATGGGCAGCCCGCTCAGTGCTGTGCTTGCCAACCTCTTCATGGAAAACCTGGAGACAGAGAAATTCAGCACCCTCATTCCCAACACCGTTACCTGGCTAAGATACGTTGATGAATATTGGTTTTTTTATCCGAGACGTCTCAATATCCAGGCCCTTCTCAACAAGATCAATGCAGTTGAACCATCAATAAAGTTTACACTTGAACTCGAAAATTATGGCAAACTTCCTTTCCTCGACGATCTACTGTGCAGATCTCCCGACAGTGACAAACTTCTCTTCAAAGTGCATAGAAAACCTACCAACAAGGACGATCTTATACACTTTTATTCACACCAAGACACCCGCACTAGGAGAGGAGTCCTCATTGGCTTCTTCTTGAGAGCTCTTCGCATCTCCAGCCCTTGTTTTCTAGAAGAAGAATGCACTTACATAACACAAGCCTTTACACGTCTTCAGTTCCCATCTTTCTTCATCCGAGATTGCAGACTCAAGGCACAAGCTATCCTCAACAAACCGCCCATGGAACAGCCCCCTAAACAGTTCACAGTACTCCCATGTGGCGATGTTGCCACGAATACTCGCCGGGCACTTGCTATGAGTAACATCAACGTTTCCACCATAAACACATCATCTATCAAAGACCTCACTACGAAACGCAGCCCCACACCTCTAACTTCTACAGCAGGCGTCTACACCATCCCCTGTGGGTTCTGTCCCAAAAAATATGTAGGCGAGACAGGCAGAGATCTTGCAGTCCGCCTGAATGAGCATCGAAATGCCTCTAACAGAGACGATGTAAGGTACGCCTGTGTCCTCCACAGAGACTCCACGGGGCATTTGATGAACTGGAATGAGGCACAACTCGTTCTCACCGAACCAGACCTCAGACGCCGACGGTGCCGTCACCGACACTATAGAACGCAACACTGGAAACTACAAAATTTCAAAAACATTGGCATACATGATACTTAAGCAACACCAACCCAACAACACAGGAGTCACATGATTTCATCGTCTACCCGTCCTCATCATAGGTAGAGGTTGTTTTGATAAAGACCTGCCTCGCATGAGCCAGTAGGCCTTCTACAGTGTTCCTCCATTCTTATGTTCTTATGACATTCCTCAGGTCACGTGCGTCACATCTCACTCTCCGCCTATATATATAATGTCTTTCTACCTCTGTATGTTAGAAGTGATCAAGGTCCCAGGACCGAAACGTTTTCTAATAAATGTTATAGTGTTTGCTTACGTGTCTTTCTAAACCAATAAAGTAACTCTCAGCATATATTCGCCGAGAGCAATGCACCTCACTGTGTATACATCCCGCGCACACTGTGAAACATATCACCCTTATTTAACCTTGAACACACACCTTGTCAAGGAGAGGGGGTTATTTTGATGTTGATGAAAGGCTCTTGATCCAAAGAATTCGAGTTTCTCTCTTTCCTCAAATCAAATATGGTTACCTCCCCCCCCCATTCCTAATATGCAGTATGACTCACATTATTTTCGTACCTCCTCCTCCTCCTCCTCCTCCTCCTCCTCCTCCTCATAATAATAATAATAATAATAATAATAATAATAATAATAATAATAATAATAATAATAATAATAATAATAATAATAATAATCAAGAAGGTGTAGTAGTGACGTTAAATAAATCAGAGGAAATCAATCTGAACATAACGAGAAAAATATATATCATTGATTTTAACGACTCTGGAGAAAGAGTAGTTTCCATGAACGAATCTGCAACATTGCAACCTCCTGATGATGTGTTGATTGCAACAGAAAAGGCCTAGAGTTATCATTCATCTTTCCCTGTGGTTATTTTGCATACTCGAGAATGAGTGTGTGGAACTCTCACTTAGTAAAATACAAGGTGAAATTCAATAAAGTTTGATGAGGTTGATCTACTAGATTGATGTCTGAGCTGAAAGGAATAAGTTATGTCTTCTCTAACTGGAAGAACGATAAGCCAAGCAGGTACAATCAAGACATGGACAGTACTCAGCAGCATGGGCAGAATAGACACAAACAAGTTCTTTACCATGGATGTAACAAGAACAAGTTAATATATGGTCAGAGATGCCACAGTCAGACGAGTCAAATGGATATAAAGACACGTTATTTCATCATAGGGACAGAAGAATACTCTTTTTTTTTTTTTTACAGGTTAAGAGCTTGTATCCTACCTCAGCTCATTTCAAAGCCTCAGACCTATCTGAGGTAAATTACCACTCCCAGGATGCGACTCACAACAGTCTACTAACACCCAGGTACCTGGTTTAGAAAGACACGTAAGCAAACACTATAACATATTTATTAGAAAACGTTTCGGTCCTGGGACCTTGATCACTTCTGATCAAGGTCCCAGGACCGAAACGTTTTCTAATAAATATGTTATAGTGTTTGCTTACGTGTCTTTCTAAACCAACTTGTCGGTATTTATTACCAAGGTTTATACCACCCAGGTACCTACTTGCTACTAGGCGAACAAGGACAGCAGGTGTAAGGAATCGTGCTTAGTGTTTCCACCCGGCCGGGGATCGAACCACGAACAATCAATGTGTGAGCTGAGTACACTACCAACCGAGCAACGGGATTCACCAACATCCCTCATTTAGATGTGACATCACATCTCACACAAGAAATCATCAATACACAATCTTGTAAAGGGATGTTTCTCACAATACTGTGGCTAGAACAATTCATACAATACCTGCCCTTAAAGAGTGGATCATATGAAGACATTTCGGTCCTGGACTACAGTCAAGTCACAATTGGGGCGAGAAAAGTAGAGAAGGCCAAGACACCATACAGTCTTTAGACAATGGTCCAGGACTGGACAAAACGTCATCATAAAGTTCCTCTTCTGAGTGCGGGGTTATGGGTGAACTGTTCCAACCACGCTACTGTGACATCCTTCTTCAGAGAAGGAGCAAAGTGGCAGAAACTGAACAACGAAAAAATGTAAATGGACTCTTGAGTTGTTTTTCACGTCAGCCGATCGAGGGAAGCGAGATCAAGAATCAGTACCATTCCCTCCCTTCCACGCCCATTCATATTCATTATTGCAAATAATAGGCGGGCCCAGAAGCCATAGCCACACTAGGTGGGTACAAACACCTGCGGGTAATGCCACAAATAGCCAGGCTATGGTTATCTTCCGATGACTTCCGCTACTTTCACAAGGTGCTATTCCGTTACAATGACCGTTACAGTGACCGCTAGAGTGACAGTTATCATGACCGTTACGATGATCGTTACAATGAGGGATATACCGACTTTTACGGTCACCATTACAGTGACGTTACAGTAGCTGCTAATTTCTTGGCCGAGTTAAACATCCCGAAAGACTCTTAGAAAGAGAGAGAGAGAGAGAGAGAGAGAGAGAGAGAGAGAGAGAGAGAGAGAGAGAGAGAGAGAGAGAGTAGGTTTGATAATGATTTATCGACAGAAAGATAGTGAGCAACTAGGGATATCCTATAGACAAGAGCAGCGTATATAACAGGAGTCGCACACACACACACACACACACACACACACACACACACACACACACACACACACACACACACACACACACACACACACACACACACACGCACATACACACACACACATGCACACAAACAAACACACACTCACGCACACAGGTACTCACTCTTACGCACACAGGTACACTCTCACGCACACAGGTACACACTCTCACGCACAGAGGTACACACGCACACAGGTACACACTCTCACGCACACAGGTACACACTCACGCACACAGGAACACACAACAGAACACATAAATGCACAGTTGAACACACATTCATACAGGTACACACAGGTGACAGAAGCACTAAATACAGACACAGTGTCAAGTAGGTAAACCAGTCTCAAGTGAGTAGATCACTCTCAAGTGGGTAGACCACTCTCAAGTGGGTAGACCACTCTCAAGTGGGTAGACCACTCTCAAGTGGGTAGACCCCTTTCAAGTGGGTAGACCACTCTCAAGTGGGTAGACCACTCTCAAGTGGGTAGACCACTCTCAAGTGGGCAGACCCCTCTCAAGTGGGTAGACCACTCTCAAGTGGGTAGACCACTCTCAAGTGGGTAGACCACTCTCAAGTGGGTAGACCACTCTCAAGTGGGCAGACCCCTCTCAAGTGGGCAGACCCCTCTCAAGTGGGTAGACCACTCTCAAGTGGGTAGACCACTCTCAAGTGGGCAGACCCCTCTCAAGTGGGTAGACCACTCTCAAATGGGCAGACCACTCTCAAGTGGGTAGACCACTCTCAAGTGGGTAGACCACTCTCAAGTGGGCAGACCACTCTCAAGTGGGTAGACCCCTCTCAAGTGGGTAGACCACTCTCAAGTGGGTAGACCACTCTCAAGTGGGTAGACCACTCTCAAGTGGGCAGACCCCTCTCAAGTGGGTAGACCAACACACAACCACACACACACAGCGAGAAAAAACAGAAGCACATCCAAACACACGCAATCAAACAGACAATCACAGCTAAGCTGACAGACTCACAACCAACCAGACAAAATCTCTGAGAAGCAGACAGAGATTAACCAGGCAGACAGATACCTAATGAGACGGACACATAACCAAGGAGACAGACATGCAACTAAGCAGACAGAATCACAACCAAACAGACGGAATTACAACTAAGCAGACAAAATCACAACTAAGCAGACAGAATCACAACTAAGCAGACAAAGTAACAACTAAGCAGACAAAATCACAACTAAGCAGACAGAATCATAATCCAGCAGACAGAATCACAACCAACCAAGCAGAATCACGGCCAAGCAGACACACACAATCAAGCAGACAATCGCTACCAATCAGGTTTATATATAACCAAGCAAACAGAAATACAACCAAGGAGACAGACATAAAGCTGAGCAGACACTAAACCAAGCAGACAGACACATAACCAAGCAGACATTCACATAACTAAACATACGGATACACTACCAGACACACAACCAAGCAGACAGACATACCTGGAACCAAGCAGACAGACACAAAGTCATGCAGACAGAGACATAAATAACTAAGCAAACAGACACATACATAACTAAGCAGACACACAACCCAGTGAACAAACATTCACGTTGGCAGACAGACACTCAGTCAAGCAGGCACACAATTAAGCACATCGAACACCCGCCCGATAAAACACACTCCAACTGCCCACTCACACCCACAGACTAACCCATTCAACCAACCTATTCCCACCACGCAACCCATTCCCACCACTCAACTCATTCCCATCACCCAACTCATTCCCACCACGCAGTAGAAGCAATACTCACGCGCATATCTCCTGGTGTATAGCCTGGGAGAACTCGTTGGTATTAACGATGGCCCGAACCTTGCCTGCAGAGTTGCTGGCCCAGTACGGTGTGACAATGTCCACGTCACTCTCACAAGAGTCAACCCTGAGGGAGAGAGGCATACCTCAGAGACGAGGAGACAATGAGATGGAGAGAGAGAGAGAGAGAGAGAGAGAGAGAGAGAGAGAGAGAGAGAGAGAGAGAGAGAGAGGAGAGAGAGAGAGAGAGAGAGAGAGAGAGACAGAGAGAGAGATAGGGGTGTGTGCAGTAGATGAGGCAAGGAAACAAAAAGCTGGTGAAAAATAATAATAATATTTTAAATAAGAGTAAATATTTAAAAACAAATATTTAAAATGGAGATATAGTAATATTTCTTCTTTTCAAATCAAAATTATCATTAACCTCATTAGTTAGATAAAAATAAATGTAAGATACCAAATGTTGATTTGTCTGTCCGTATTATATAAGTCTGTGTAACATAACGTCTCTCTAACATAACGTCTGTGTAACATAATAACGTCTTTCTGTGTAACATAAAGTCTGTGTAACATAATGTCTGTCTGGGTAATATAATGACTGTCTGTATCACATAACAGCATTTTATGTAATACAGTCCTGGGACAGACTTATGTTTGGTGCAGTGAACTTTATTTTTCTCTGATGTGGTGTAGACTCGGACTCGGGATACTTATAATACTACACTGCATACTAAACAATAAACGAATTTAGGATCTGGCCAACTTCGAGGACTCAGTCCATTATGAGACTGAATGGACTTTGTTTCTGACTGTCTTGGTGTCTACACACTATTCCGTGGAGGTACTCATTGACCAGACAGTGTCTGGTACACACCCTATATACACACATATCAAAGGTTCAGACTTCGATGCTAGTGTGCGGTCTTCAGAGTTTTAGGCGTAATGCGTAATTATATGAATAATCAGATGTTGGACTTAGAAAAATTGTCATTTGTGGGTGATTAACTTACGTTTGGCATACGCGTGAAGAACTAGCAGTCAGATATACTTTCACTAAAGTTCTGTCATGTGAGTTGTGACTGTGACTAGCATTTCTCAGGATAATATAAATATATTTTTACAAGCTGATTTTATGTAGTAAAGTTTGGTTGACGTTGTTATTCTCGTTTTACTGAATCCATATACACGTAAACATGAATAACATTTAAAGGATAAAGCAGTGAGATGGTTTGGTTAAGAGAGTCAGTGTTTATGATAGGAAGTAAAGTATGTCTTACCTCTTCAACACTACGCCCTCCAACACCACACTCTCCAACACTACACTCTCCAACACCACACCCTCCATCACCACACTCTCCAACACCACGCCCTCCAACACAACACTCTCCAACACCACACTCTCCAACACCATACTCTCCAACACCACACCATCCAACAAACCCCACCCACCAGCACCACACCCTCCAACACTACACTCTCCAACACCACACTCTCCAACACCCACACTCTCCAACACCACACCCTCCAACACCCATACCAACACCACACTCGCAACACCACAAATCTCCAACACCATACCATCACTACACTCTCCAACACCACACTCTCCAACACCATACCCTCCAACACACACCCTCCAACACCACACTCTCCAACACCACACTCTCCAACACCACAAACTGCAACACTACACTTTCCAACTCCACACTATCCAACACCACACCCTCCAAAACCACACCCTCCAACACCGCACCCTCCAACACCACGTCCTCCAACACTACACTCTCCAACACCACGCCATCCAACACTAAACTCTCCAACACCACACTCTCCAACACCACACGCTCCAACACCACGCTGTCCAACACCCCACTCTCCAACACCACACTCTCCAACACCACACACTCCAACACTACACTTTCCAACTCCACACTATCCAACACCACACCCTCCAACACCACACCCTCCAACACCGCACCCTCCAACACCACGCCCTCCAACACTACACTCTCCAACACCACGCCATTAAACACCAAACTCTCCAACACAACACTCTCTAACACCACACTCTCCAACACTACACCTCCAACACACACCCTCCCACACCACACCTTCCAACACCACACCCTGCAACACCACACCCTCCAACACCCACGCCATCCAACACTAAACTCCCCAACACCACACTCGCCAACACCACACCCTCCAACACCACGCTCTCCAACACCATATTCTCCAACACCATACCCTCCAACACCACGCTCTCCAACAATACACTCTCAAACACCACGCTCTCCAACGCCACACAACCCTCCAACACCACACTCTCCAACACCACACTCTCCAACACCACACTCTCCAACACCACACTCTCCAACACCACAACCTCCAACACCACACTCTCCAACAACACACCCTCCAACACCACACCCTCCAACACCACACCCTCCAACACCACAGACTCCAACACCACACCCTCCAACACCACGCCCTCCAACACTCTCCAACACCACACTCTCCAACACTACACTCTCCAACACCACACCCTCCAATACCACACCCTCCAACATCACACTTTCCAACACCACACTCTCCAACACCACACACTCCAACACCACACTATTCAACACCATACTCTCCATCACCACACCCTCCAACACCACACTCTCCAACACCGCACTCTCCAACACCACACCCTCCAACACGACACTCTACAACACCACAACCCTCCAACACCATACCCCCACCACACTCTCCAGCACCACACTCTCCAGCACCACGCTCTCCAACACCATACCATCACCACACTCTCCAACACCATACACTCCAAGACCACAGCCTCCATCACCACACTCTCCAACATCACACCCTCCAACACCACACTCTCCAACACCACACTATCCAACACAACACTCCAACACCATACCTTCCAAGGCCACAGCCTCCATCACCACACTCTCCAACACCACACCCTCCAACACCACACTCCAACACCACACTCTCCAACACCAAACTCTCCAACACCACACTCTCCAACACCACACTCTCCAACACTACACTCTCCAACACCACACCCTTCAACACCACACTCTCCAACACCACACCCTCCAACACCACACCCTCCAAAACCACACCCTCCAACACCACACTCTCCAACACCCACACCCTCCAACACCACACTCTCCAACACCACACCCTCCAACACCACACCCTCCAACATCACACCCTACAACACCGCACCCTCCAACACGACGCCCTCCAACACTACACTCTCCAAAACCACACTCTCCAACACCACACCCTCCAACACCACACTCTCCAACAATACACTCTCCAACTCCACGCTCTCCAACACCACACCCTCCAACACCACACTTTTCAACCCCACACTCTCCAACACAACACTCTCCCACACCACATCCCCAACACCAAAACCTCAAACACCACACCCTCCAGCACCAACGCCCTCCATCACTACACTGTCCAACCCCACACTCTCCAACACTAACACTCGCCAACACCACCCTCTCCAACACCACACCCTCCAACACCACACTTTCCAACACCACACTCTCCAACACCACACTCTCCAACACCATAACCTCCAACACCACACTCTCCAACACCATACTCTCCATCACCACACCCTCCAACATTACACTCTCCAACACCACACCCTCCAACACAATACCACCACCACACTCTCCAGCATCACACTCTCCAACACTCTCCAACTTCACACCCTCCAACGCCACACTCTCCAACACCACACCTCTCCGACACCACACTCTCCAACACCATACCTTCCAAGGCAACAGCCTCCATCACCACACTCTCCAACACCACACACTCCAACACCACGCTCTCCAACATCACACTTTCCAACACCACACTTTCCAACACCACACACTCCAACACCACACTATTCAACACCATAACTCCTCCTCACCACACCCTCCAACACCACACTCTCCAACCACCGCACTCTCCAACACCACACCCTCCAACACGACACTCTACAACACCACAACCCTCCAACACCATACCCCCACCACAACTCTCCAGCACCACACTCTCCAGCACCACGCTCTCCAACACCATACCATCACCACACTCTCCAACACCATACACTCCAAGACCACAGCCTCCATCACCACACTCTCCAACATCACACCCTCCAACACCACACTCTCCAACACCACACTATCCAACACCACACTCTCCAACACCATACCTTCCAAGGCCACAGCCTCCATCACCACACTCTCCAACACCACACCCTCCAACAACCACACTCTCCAACATCACACTCTAGAACACCACACCCTCCAACACCACACTCTCCAACACCACACCGTCCAACACCATACCACCACCACACTCTCCAGCACCTCACCCTCCAACACCATACCATTACCACACTCTCCAACATCATACCCTCCAACGAATTACCCTCCAACACCACAGCCTCCATCACTACACTCTCCAGCACCACACCTTCCAACACCATACCCTCCAACACCAAAGCCTCTATCACCACATCTCCAACATCACACCCTCCAACACTATACCCTACAACACCACATACTCCATCACTACACTCTCCATCACCACACCTTCCAAACCATACCCTCCAACACCACAGCTTCTATCACCACACTCTCCAACACCACACTCTCCAACACCACACTCTCCACACCACACTCTCCAGCACTACACTCTCCAACACCACACCTTCCAACACCACACTCTCCTACACCACACTCTCCAACACCACACCGTCCAACACCGTATCACCACCACACTCTCCAACACCTCACCCTCCAACACCATGCCATCACCACACTCTCCAACGCAATACACTCCAACACCATACCCTCCAAGACCACAGCCTCCATGACCACACTCTCCAACATCATACCCTCCAACAAATTACCCTCCAACACCACAGCCGCCATCACTACACTGTCCAGCACCACACCTTCCAACACCATAACCCTCCAACACCACAGCCTCTATCACCACGCTCTCCAATATCCACACCCTCCAACACTATACCCTCCAACACCAGACTCTCCAACACCACACTCTCCAACACCACAGCCTCCATCACTACACCTCTCCAACACCACACCGTCCAACACCACACTCTCCAACACCACACTATCCAACACAACACTCTCCAACACCATACCCTCCAACCCCATACCATCACCACACTCTCCAACACCATACTCTCCAACACCATACCCACCAAGACCACAGCCTCTATCAGCACACTCTCCAACATCTCACTCTCCAACACCATACCCTCCAACACCACAGCCTCTTTCACCACACTCTCCAACATTACACCTTTCAACACCACACTCTCCAACACCACACTTTCCAACACCACACTCTCCAGCACTACACTCTCGAACACCACACCCTCCAACACCACACTCTCCAACACCACACTCTCCAACACCTCACCCTCCAATATTATACCATTACCACACTCTCCAACACCATACACTCCAACACCATACCCTCCAAGACCACAGCCTCCATCATCACACTCTCCAACATTACACTCTCCAACACACTCTCCAACATCACACTCTCCAACACCACACTCTCCAACACCTCAACCTCCAACACCATACCATCACCATACTCTCCAACACCATACACTCCAACACCATACCCTCCAACACCACAGCCTCTTTCACCACACTCTCCAACATCACACCCTCCAACACCGTACCCTCCAACACCACAACCTCCATCACTGCACTCTCCAACACACCTTCAAACACCATTCCCTCCAAAACCACAGCCTCCATCACCACAATCTCCAACATCACACCCTGCAACACCTTACCCTCCAACACCACAGCCTCCATCACTACACTCTCCAACACCACAGCTTCCAACACCATACCCTCCAACACCACAGCCTCCATCACTACACTCTCCAGCACCACACCTTCCCACACCATTCCCTTCAACACCACAGCCTCCATCACCACACTCTCCAACATTACATCTTCCAACACCACACCTGTCTGAGTTGACATTAGCGTTGCCAGGGAAGGACTGACGCTTGTTACGGATGAGGCTGAAAAATGACTGTCCTCGAGGGTCATCGGGGTGATAATCAAGGTGTAGCTCTGGAACCTCGTCCTCGAAAGCGTCTACCGACCGTCCCGTGCGACTGAACGGGCGAAACTCTGCCCCAGCCTGCGCTCTCTGCAAGGTTTTTTTACGATTATTTTTTTATCTAAGACTTGAAGACCACATCTTGGTTATTAAATTTGCATACATCTCTGTAATAGATATTTTAGTAAAATCTGTGTATAGGCTTAGATATATATACCTCTCGGTGTATGTACACTGAGAATATATGCAACGCCTCAGTGAATATACACGCAGATATTTACCTCTCTGATGAGAGAGAATGTTGGATAGGATAAAAAATAGGAAGAAAGTGGAATTAGAGATCGATGATGATAGGAAGGGACAGGGGCAATACATGTACAAAGATACAGCGGGCAGGACATGTACAAAGGCAATAAAGTTGTGGATGAGAGAAACAAGGATGGATGAACGTAGGGAGATGAAGGAAGAATAAGAAAGAAAGATTAGTAAATGGTTGAATATTGAGTATTAAAAGCAAACGTTAGAATGGGAAGATGTAAGAGAATCCACTTAGCATGAGAAACTACGACTACAGCAGTGTCTTGCCTAGTATGTGCTATTAGAACTACTGTGGAGTTTCTCTCCTTGCGTATTGTAAATTAATTATGAATTATATATAAATCGGAAAGCAAAGACGAAAGTTTAGTTAGATAATAATAATAATAATAATAATAATAATAATAATAATAATAATAATAATAATAATAATAATAATAATAATAATAATAATTAGGAAAAACACAAGGAAAAAATTACACAGAAGAGAATAGACTGAAAAGCAATAAACTGGTAAAAAAATGCAAGGCATACAAGCAAGATGATTAATGATGAAAGATGATAAATAAGGGTATAAAAAATACTGATATATATATATATATATATATATATATATATATAATATATATATATATATATATATATATATATATATATATAATATATATTATATATATATAGACACAATATCGATAAATGATTATCATTTCTGATAAATAATTATAATGATAAACAATTGTGATAAATAATGGTAATAATAAACAATTATGATCAACAAAGATAATGACAATGATGATAAACAATGATAATGATAAATAATTATGATAAACAATTATAATTATAAGCAGTGATAATAAAAAGGGTAATGTTAAACAACGATGATAAACAATGACAATGACACAATGATGTTGAACAGTAATAATGTCAGTGATAATGATAAACAATGATAATGATCAACAATGATAATAACCAAGGATGATAATAATCAACAATGATAATAACCAAGGATGATAATAATCAACAATGATAATAACCAAGGATGATAATGATCAACAATGATGATGATAAACAATGGTAAGGGTGAGCAACGATTGTGATAAAGAATGATAATGATAAACAATGATAATGATAACTAAAGATAATCAACAATGATGTTGATAAACAATGTTAAACAATGATAATGACAAATAAAAATAGTGATAAGCAATGATGATAATAAACAAAGATGATGACAATGATAATCGTAAACAAAGATGAGAAACAATGTTGATGATAAACAATAATATTACAACGATGATGATGAAAATGATAAAAAAACAATGATAAACAATGATAATACAAATGATAACGGACAATGACAATGATAAAGATGTTAATGATAAACAAGGATAATAATAAACAATGATAATAATAAACTATGATAAAAAAAATGATAATAAATAATAAGAACGGTAAGCAATGATAATAATTAGTAATGAAAATTATAAACAATAATGATGATAGACGATAATGATCATAAGCAATGATGATAAATAATGATAATGATAAATGATGATGATGAATAAATACTAGTAACTCACAATAATACCTAATAAACAATGAAAAGCAAAGAAAAATATTACCACACAATGAACATTAATATACAATGACAAATAATGATAAATAATAATAAATGAAGAGAATGAACTGTGAGGAGAATGAACTGTGAGGAAAGTGAACTGTGAGGAGAGTGAACTGTGAGGAGAGTGAGCTGTGAGGAGAGTGAACTGTGAGGAGAATGAACTGTGAGGAAAGTGAACTGTGAGGAGAGTGAACTGTGAGGAGAGTGAACTGTGAGGAGAGTGAACTGTGAGGAGAATGAACTGTGAGGAAAGTGAACTGTGAGGAGAGTGAACTGTGAGGAGAGTGAACTGTGAGGAGAATGAACTGTGAGGAAAGTGAACTGTGAGGAGAGTGAACTGTGAGGAGAGTGAACTGTGAGGAGAATGAACTGTGAGGAAAGTGAACTGTGAGGAGAGTGAACTGTGAGGAGAGTGAACTGTGAGGAGAATGAACTGTGAGGAAAGTGAACTGTGAGGAGAGTGAACTGTGAGGAGAGTGAACTGTGAGGAGAATGAACTGTGAGGAAAGTGAACTGTGAGGAGAGTGAACTGTGAGGAGAGTGAACTGTGAGGAGAATGAACTGTGAGGAAAGTGAACTGTGAGGAGAGTGAAACTGTGAGGAGAGTGAACTGTGAGGAGAATGAACTGTGAGGAAAGTGAACTGTGAGGAGAGTGAACTATGAGGAGAGTGAACTGTGAGGAGAGTGAACTGTGAGGAGAGTGAACTGTGAGGAGAGTGAACTGTGAGGAGAGTGAACTGTGAGGAGAGTGAACTCTGAGGAGAGTGAACTGTGAGGAGAGTGAACTGTGAGGAGAGTGGACTGTGAGGAGAATGAACTGTGAGGAGAGTGAACTGTGAGGAGAATGAACTGTGAGGAGAGTGAACTGTGAGGAGAGTGGACTGAGAGGAGAATGAACTGTGAGGAGAGTGAACTGTGAGGAGAGTGGACTGAGAGGAGAATGAACTGTGAGGAGAGTGAACTGTGAGGAGAGTGAACTGTGAGGAGAATGAACTGTGAGGAGAGTGAACTGTGAGGAGAATGAACTGTGAGGAGAGTGAACTCTGAGGAGAGTGAACTGTGAGGAGAGTGAACTGTGAGGAGAGTGGACTGTGAGGAGAATGAACTCTGAGGAGAGTGAACTGTGAGGAGAATGAACTGTGAGGAGAGTGAACTGTGAGGAGAATGAACTGTGAGGAGAGTGAACTCTGAGGAGAGTGAACTGTGAGGAGAGTGAACTGTGAGGAGAATGAACTGTGAGGAGAGTGAACTGTGAGGAGAATGAACTGTGAGGAGAGTGAACTGTGAGGAGAGTGAACTGTGAGGAGAGTGAACTGTGAGGAGAATGAACTGTGAGGAAAGTGAACTGTGAGGAGAGTGAACTGTGAGGAGAGTGAACTGTGAGGAGAGTGAACTGTGAGGAGAGTGAACTGTGAGGAGAGTGAACTGTGAGGAGAGTGAACTGTGAGGAGAGTGAACTCTGAGGAGAGTGAACTGTGAGGAGAGTGAACTGTGAGGAGAGTGGACTGTGAGGAGAATGAACTGTGAGGAGAGTGAACTGTGAGGAGAATGAACTGTGAGGAGAGTGAACTGTGAGGAGAGTGGACTGAGAGGAGAATGAACTGTGAGGAGAGTGAACTGTGAGGAGAGTGGACTGAGAGGAGAATGAACTGTGAGAGAGGTGAACTGTGAGGAGAGTGAACTGTGAGGAGAATGAACTGTGAGGAGAGTGAACTGTGAGGAGAATGAACTGTGAGGAGAGTGAACTCTGAGGAGAGTGAACTGTGAGGAGAGTGAACTGTGAGGAGAGTGGACTGTGAGGAGAATGAACTGTGAGGAGAGTGAACTGTGAGGAGAATGAACTGTGAGGAGAGTGAACTGTGAGGAGAAGGAACTGTGAGGAGAGTGAACTCTGAGGAGAGTGAACTGTGAGGAGAGTGAACTGTGAGGAGAGTGGACTGTGAGGAGAATGAACTGTGAGGAGAGTGAACTTTGAGGAATGAACTGTGAGGAGAGTGAACTGTGAGGAGAGTGGACTGTGAGGAGAATGAACTGTGAGGAGAGTGAATTGTGAGGAGAATAAACTGTGAGGAGAGTGAACTGTGAGGAGAGTGAACTGTGAGGAGAATGAACTGTGAGGAGAGTGGACTGTGAGGAGAATGAACTGTGAGGAGAGTGAACTGTGAGGAGAATGAACTGTGAGGAGAGTGAACTGTGAGGAGAATTAACTGTGAGGAAAGTGAAACGTGAGGAGAGTGAACTGTGGGGAGAATTAACTGTGAGGAAAGTGAAATGTGAGGAGAGCGAACTGTGAGGAGAGTGAACTGTGAGGAGAGTGAACTATGAGGAGAGTGAACTGTGAGGAGAGTGAACTGTGAGGAGAGTGAACTGTGAGGAGAGTGAACTGTGAGGAGAATGAACTGTGAGGAGAGTGGACTGTGAGGAGAATGAACTGTGAGGAGAGTGAACTGTGAGGAGAATGAACTATGAGGAGAGTGAACTGTGAGGAGAATGAACTGTGAGGAGAATGAACTGTGAGGAGAATGAACTGTGAGGAGAGTGAACTGTGAGGAGAATGAACTGTGAGGAGAGTGAACTGTGAGGAGAATGAACTGTGAGGAAAGTGAACTGTGAGGAGAATTAACTGTGAGGAAAGTGAACTGTGAGGAGAATGAACTGTGAGGAAAGTGAAATGTGAGGAAAGTGAAATGTAGGAGAGTGAACTGTGAGAAGAATGAACTGTGAGGAAAGGGAAATGTGAGGAGAGTGAACTGTGAGGAAAGTGAACTGTGAGGAAAGTGAACTGTGAGGAGAGGGAACTGTGAGGAGAGTGATCTGTGAGGAAAGTGAAATTGGAGGAGAGTGAACTGTGAGGAGAGTGAACTGTGAGGAAAGTGAACTGTGAGGAGAGTGAACTATGAGGAAGTGAACTGTGAGGAAGGCGAACTGTGTGGAGAGTGAACTGTGAGTAAAGTGAACTGTGAGGAGAGTGAACTGTGAGGAAAGTGAACTGTGAGGAAAGTGAACTGTGAGGAGAGTGAACTGTGAGGAGAGTGATCTGTGAGGAGAGTGATCTGTGAGGAAAGTGAAATGTGAGGAGAGTGAACTGTGAGGAGAGTGAACTATGAGGAGAGTGAACTGTGAGGAAAGTGAACTGTGACTAGAGTGAACTGT